AATCAGCTCCAACCCCACTGGCAGTTAAAAGGAAGAAACAGCTGCGATCACACACCACTCTTAGAAGCACGAAGCTGAAGACACCAGCCTGAAGATGACGAATGTGACTTCGTCGAAACGTCGCCAAGGTACTTTTAATTCTACGCGGGAGAAAACCCGAATAACTAAAGACCTACATATATATATATATATATACATATATATGGTTGCAAATGACATAAAAGACAGACGAATGACTCCTGGGAATATCCATAATACAAAATAAAAATGCGAACACCAGGAGAGTATAAGACAATTAAAAGTTTAGTAAAAAAAAAAAAAAAACCTTTAAAAACTTTTAAAAGCATACAATCATAGGGGCCAAGCTTTCGTCGGATCCTTCCGACATCCTCAGGGCACAAAGTCAATCAATCCTCAGGGCACAAAGTCAATCAATGGGAAAAGCAGTTATAAATAAACCAATCATTGTAACAATGATTGGTTACCACGGCCCTATTACGAGATCTATGGCCCGGATGCAGGCGTCGGTTTATTTATAACTGCTTTTCCCATTGATTGACTTTGTGCCCTGAGGATGTCGGAAGGATCTGACGAAAGCTTGGCCCCTATGATTGTATGCTTTTAAAAGTTTTTAAAGGTTTTTTTTACTAAACTTTTAATTGTCTTATACTCTCCTGGTGTTCGCATCTGTCTACCTGCTACTCATATATCTGGCTTAGTCATATTATTTCACCTTTTCTGGCACCCTAACTTCAAATATAAAACATTATAACAAGGCCATATTATCTTCTTATTGGCAAATGCAACCCCGATTTTAGAATTCATGCAACAGCTATTAGAACATCTGATGAGAATATTGAGACTTCTTTCTCTTCCTATACAATTAATGATTTGTAATATTAACTAAGAAATAGCCCCAGAGAAGAGGTGAAATCAGAAAAAGATTATTAATAGACAACAGACATATCCTTATCCTACATATTAGGCTTAAAATATCTGGAAGGTATATGGCCCACCCTTCCTATTAATTTTCCCTATAGTAATCAGGAAAATTATTCTGTTGCTTGTATATTTGGGAATTCAGATCAATCCATATAATACACACAAGTATCCTCATGTATGGTTTATGCTCAGTTTTACATAGTTATCATTTGGAACAGTTGGTACAGAACTGGAAACATCACTATCTCCTTTTTTATAACGTGTTGGCTAAATGCATAAAAGGCAAAAATATGGAATAAGGCATATTAAATTCAATGAGGCTTCATTCAATAAAATTAAGTTTGGAAATGTTCTGATAAGCATAGCCAGGCATGTATTTGTTAATATCAAACCAATTAAATTAGAAGATTAGAGCCAAAGTAGTTCAACTGAAAGTAACATTGTGACTAAGATTGAATGCAAATGTTGAAGAATTAGTTGGAGATTAACATTGTCAAATAATAGATGGGTTCTATATCTGTTCATCATCATACTTCATTAATGTGTTCTGAATAACAAGTTGAAATCTCTGCTGCCAGCTGTAAAACAACTGTTCCATGAGCCAAAGATAACCAGACCATATTTGTTGTGTTCAATTCAGCCTAATATTTTTACATTTATTACTTTTCCCCCATTGAGATGTATTTATTTTACTTTAACCCTGGGCACAAGATTAATAGGATGCCTTACATGAAGTTAACAAAAAAATCTTATTTTATAAGACCCAAATATGACTTCTAAAATACTTGGCACAAAAGAATGGAAGCAAGAGGAAAAAAAATACGATGTTATTTTATAAGACCCAAATATGACTGTCTAAAATACTTGGCACAAAAAAATGGAAGCAAGAGGAAAATAAGCAACATTAGATTTCAGTTCTTAAGACAATAAGGGAGAAAAGAAACAATTGAGAGGGGAATAAATAGTCTGTTCCATTTTGTCTTCTCACTTTTTTGCATATTATAAAATAACTGTAAAATTATGCTGAGGAAAAAAGGATGCTAACAAAGCTGAGTCTTAGAAAAGTTGATGAAGTAAGCTTGGTTTATATTACTCTCTTCTTCCTGTAGTCCTTAAGGAAATTGCATTGTCACATGCTAGTAAAGACCTATTTCCATATACAGTACTTTCTTCTTATGGACACTTCCCATTTGTTCTTTTTGATAGCGGAAGATGCATGCGGAGGAACAATGAGGGGATCCAGTGGCGTCGTCTCTAGTCCTAATTTTCCAAATGAGTACCACAATAATGCAGACTGTACATGGACAATTGTGGCAGAACCTGGAGACACCATCTCACTCATCTTTACAGATTTTCATATGGAAGAGAAATATGATTACTTGGAAATAGAAGGTTCTGAACCACCCACAATATGGTAAGTGAAATAATTTGTATTAAAAATGGCAGCAAGTTTCTTCTGGAAAATAGCACAATTGTATATGATTCTCCATGGTTTTCTGTAAACATCCTATAGATTTTATCCGAACAAGACTTTTAGTGTGCTTAGGTAAAACAATATAAGTAGATCTCAAATTATGATCAGAATTGGAATCAGAATTTCCAGTGCTAAGCAAGGTGGTTGTTAAATGAGTTGTGTCCAATTTTACAACCTTTATGTCATGGTTGTTAAGCAAATTACTGCAGTTGTTAAATGAACTGTGCAGTCATTAAGAAATTTTGATTTTCCCCATTGGTATTGCTTGTTGGAAAACCAGAAGATGACAAATGGCAACCTTATAATCCCAAGATGCCGCAGCTATCATAAATACATTGGTTGCTAAGTGCCCGAGTTTGTTCATATGATAATGGGGATGCTTTGACAGTCATAGTGTGAGAACTAGTCAGGTGCTGTTTTTTCAATGCTGTTAATACTTCAAACAGTTGACAGACAAATTATTGTAAATCAAGGATTACCTATAATTGGAATTGTATAATTGAATCCTACTTGAAGCTGTTTGTTGAAGTTTAGTGATGTCGTTTTAAGTTTGCTTAAGTTTACTGAAAATTTTTTGGACTGGATATGGTCTTGTAAATTTATTTTAGAGTTCACTAAAAAAAATACTTCTTTTTTTTACGTTTGTCTGTGAGCATCCAGCTGTGATAAAGGTTTAATTATTATTTATAACATCTTCCTAAATGGCTCTATCTAATTCACTATTTGCAAGAGGGATAATAAATTGGTGTCTGTGTGTATGTGTATCTATGTATGTATGCATGTATATATGTATAGATGGATAGATAGGTAGACAGATAGACGGACAGACAGACTGCATAGCAGCCATGTTTGGGGGACTCCATGGCTGCTAGTTTGAATGATCTGGTCATTAAAAAATGCTACTAATGTTGGACTGCTCTGAAAATCTGTGATCAGCTTTAGTTCTATGAATAAGCTGAAATTCTGTCCACCAGCTTTATCAATTCAATTCTACTGTATAAAACATCTAGCCATATGCTAGATAAATATTCCAGCTGTTGTCTAAAATGTAATTAATTGCTACTAATTAGATTGAGTTTGCATATTTTAATGCTTCTCCAAGATAGCAAATGCACATTAAAAAAAAATGAAATTATAATGATCAAAGAAAAGTAGTAGGGTTACTGGTCTTTTCTACACTTCCTGTGTAGTTTATACTTGATGTGCAGCATAGATATGCTAATAGTTTCTTATCTACCTAGCCTAGGAATTTGGAAATCAATTTCAATTTGACAAGTATTGATAGTGATTGGGTTTGTGTAATTTTGCAAATTTCAAATTTGTGCCTAATTCCCCCAGTTGTGTTTTGTATAATATGAATCAGTTACATTTTATTATTTTGCATGTATAGCTACTGATTAAAGGGCTTATCAGGGTATAATGTTACCATTAAATATATATATTTATACTGTGATTTTATTATTTTTTCATATTAGATGGATAACAAAGACTTTCATTTGGATTTTTTTTCTTTTACCCATGCTTTCTAAAACATTAGAAATGTATAGTTATTATGATGTGATTGCCATTGATTTCACTTTTTAATTCATGTGAAATCTGATGTTATCAGTTGTTTATGCTATATTTACCAAATATAGAAGAACAGGGAATGATGGTGGGTACATCTCAAAAGTATAATTTGCTTTTCAAAGTACCCTATCAAAGTACTTTTAATAAGATTTTTAATGTATAACAAAAATAACATATATTGAATTAGTTATACAATCAACATTTCTTGGAATATATTAATACATAATAAAATTATTGTCATGAAGAATTTCATTTAAAGTGTCTAAGTGTACAAAATCAGTATAAAATGACACTTGGAAGGAAACTGTTTATGTACCTCTTTTGGGAAACTGCATAATATTTATGACATCCTATCATTACCAGGAATATTCTTCCTATTTCAAATAAGGCCTTACTGCAGGATTAATTTGCAAGTAGATATTATTCTTTGGTACAGAACTAAGATATTTATATTCTGTGGAACAATGGCATAAATGAAATTGACTGACTAGTGAAATGAAAGTTAAGTTTTGAACAATACAGTATTGTTGATTAATGAATTGAATTGTTTGATGAATGTAGGCCATGTTTCTTTAACCTTATTTGCTCAGTTGTTATGTATACTGTATCATAACCTAAATTCAAAATCTGGAAGTCTCATTCAATAAAACCCACATTTTGGCAGAGACTGCAAAAACATAAGTACCTAATGAAAAAAACTAATGAAATATACATGTACCAATAGTTACTAATCAGAACTACAAAAACCTTCATGCATGTTACACATCCATTTTATTTTTTTATAGAAAATGCTATTAGGAATCTACTAAGGGGGTGTGGTGGCACACTGGCTTTAATGATCGGCACTCTCGGCTACAGATGGTTGGCACCTTGGCAGTTCAAGTCCATGACACCGCATTGCAGAGTGAGCTCCCATCATTTGACCCTAGTTCCTGCCCATTCAGCAGTTCAAAAGCATATAAAAATGCCAACAAATAAACAGGTACCACTTAGTTGGGAAAAGCTAGCAGCTTTCCCTATGGAAAGGGGAGCCAATGTTGGACCTCTCCATATGGGAGGCGAGATTGGTGGAAGAAAACCCAGATGACCTGATATATCCTGGATACTGCTAGTCAGTATTCCGCTAGTTTGCCCCTGTGGTATATTTTAATATTAACCATACGTTAACAAAAGGAACTAACAATGTTAGGCTGCCAGAACTACTCTGCGATATAAAACATTGTAAATTTTCCTGGCTAATGTACGCCATATTCTAAAACAAAATAAATAAATAAATTAGATATCTAGTACTAAACTGTGACTTAGCTGGCTTTGCTTGTCATTTCGACAAAATCAGTTGCACAGATCAGCTCTTTGCTCTCAAAGGACCAGCTGAAGCGGGTCATATTAGGCTAGGAAAAGCAATGATAAAATAGCTTTCTTATTTCTCAAAATGTAATGAATTTCATTGAGTTCTTTCTAATGGAAATATTGCACTGGAAGCGAGGACAAGTGCAGTTTAGGTGACAAGAATCAATCCAGTCCTGAAGTAAGAACATTAGGAATAAAGTATTTGCTTTAAACAACTTACCATGAGTCTGGCTGGGGATTTACTCTTACAGTTTTCATGGCTATGTTTTTACCTCAGGCTAGCATTAAAGATATCTTTCTGAAACTTGTATGTTTCTGGCTTCTTTGGTTTGGGAGCTACATGGAGTTTGACAGTGAGATGATGTTAGGTATTACTAATGTTTGATCTGTAATTTTTATCTGTACTGCTATGCAGTGAATATGCATTTGTGAAATTATGTCTGAAAACCGTAAGTTGAAATAAATTGAAGACACTCATCATACTCAGTTAGATTTGGCATGAGACAATTCCAATGCCATGAATTACTTAGATGGGAAAAGGAAGCTTATTTGTATTTTTATACTTTTAATTGTGATACTGTTCACTGCCCCACAGGCAATTGGACTGAGATGGGCAGCTATAGAAATTGAATAAAATAATTAAATAAAAGCTGTACTCCTCCAGCTGGATTTAGTATTCCAGTTATCATCACAGTTAGTAATCTGGGATGACAACCTCAAATAATATTTAAAAGGCCACAGATGCTTCAGTTTCTCCTAAGATCCAAGGTACTATGCATAGTTTCAGTTTTAATGACTGCTATACTATGATTATTCACATCACCACTTAAGTGAGTCAATTATCCATGGTGAAAAGATTCAGATTTGTCAATGATTTCTCACACAATTACACTGCTTAGACATATCTGTAGCCTAATTATTTTAAAAGCCTAATTTACTCCAGTCATTAGTAGGATTTAAAAAAATAATAATATACATCATTTATCTTTTGTATAGCAATTTGGTGACTTTATCCCATACTTGAAAAACATGTTGTTTTGTTTTCTTCTTTTTTTTAAGGATGGAAGATGTTTAGATAAATGAGATGGGTAAATATATACAGGTCAAAACAGTTTTGTTTCCCACGTACATTCTATAAATTATAACATAGCATTAAAATGTTATTTTTTATAATGGCTATTTTGAAGTTGAAGAATGAAGGAACACTCTATCCTAAGCTTGTCATTCATATTGTAGGATGAGATCAATGTATTTTGTTATGCAAAAGCACCTCACCATATGTTAGGGGGAAAACTAAATCTACAAATTTAATTAGCTCAGATTTCTTAACTAGATATATTATGTTAATATTTTATCCCTTTAGAATAGTATTGAAATTCAACTTCTAATTGCTTATATATGCAAAGAATACTCTGTCAAAAAAAGCTTATATGTTGTTTTATTTTAGATAGAACTGATCTTGTAAAATCCTATTAAAGCTAAATGCAGAATTACAAAGTTTGTTGTAGATAATATTGCATTTTGAAGAGCTATTCTATTTCAATATAAAATAAAATTCTTTAATATCATTTCCATACTACTAAATAATAAAGTTTTCTTTCTTGAGTAGTTTGGATAAAAGATTGTGTAAGAACCCTAAAACAAAGCTTGCTATTTATCCTGACCTCATCTTTGTCATGTTCTTAGACTGACAATTTTACTGTCAGTCTAGGCTGAAAATTCTGCCAGACCAAGCTATTCAAATGAGATGTTAACAGTACAGAATATAATTTTATATAATGGTATTGAAATTATGTCAGAAAGATATACAATGATAGGGTCATAATTTGGAGTAGCCACTTTAGATATCTGAGTTACCACAAAGCCCATTTTGATCCATACATAAATCTTGCTATGACAGCCAGCTGCATGTTAACTGAATTCATTACATGACAAGTGCTGTCTTTATTAAAATTTTATTAAAACTGGTACTCTAAAGCAGAGGCCCCCAAGCTTTTTGGCACCAGGGACCGGTTCCATGG